GGGGGGGGGGGGTAATATCGACTTACGTAAAGATATTTTGGGATAATGGTTAAAAAAGTTCCCCGACCGCTGATGTACATCATGCACGAGAAGTGACAATATCTTCCATACTTTAATAACTGAAAATGAAACTTGTATTGAACAATATACTTACATTAGTACTTGATAAGTATTAAATGAAGTGAAATTTTCACAATGGCAACTGTCACCGTGGTGAAATAATCTTAGCAATATAGTCGATACTTCTTTTTGATAATGATTCAATAAGACAGGAAACGTTATATTATTCTTTTTTTCTGTTCTTGTCTTGGTCTATTATTACATCATGTTTGTCAATTTAACACCATGTACATCATGCACGTTTTTCGCTATCCGCCATAGCTGGAAATGAAACTTGTATATCATACTTAAACTCGTACTTAACAAGTATTAAAGGAAGTGTTTGTAAAATGTACAATGATTATGTTGCGAAATGACAGCTGTCACTTAGTGTCAGACAAAGCGAGAAACTGGTGAAACGATCTTAGCAATTGAGAAACGTTACAACTGCACAAAAATATGTTCGATCGTGAGGCAAAAAGTTTGAGAAACGCTGTGTATCTAAGTTAAGCTGTCAAAATGTGAACAATGCGATGGACGTGACATCTAAAGCAATATTGTCAAACACTCGTGACGTTTCCGAAACGGCAGGCAGACAGGCAAGCAGTGTTTATGCACACGCTGTTAACAGATCGTTAAGTTTCAAATATCTCTGCTGGCCTGTGTTTTCACTCCGGAGTCGTTCACTCGGCTACGAAAAGTTCGAAAATAGTTTTATTAAACGTTTCGAATGGGCCACGACTGCATGTATTTAACATCTATTCCCGTTTCGCTTTATTGAAATCAAAAGTGCCATTGTTTATTTCCGTATCAGAATGTATTACATTTTCTTTTTAATGTTACACTATGGAAATTAAATTAAATATTTAGCAAGTTACAATTGATTGCAGTTACATTTCTTTTTAGCCGCCTCAAATTGGAAACAGTTTGTTCCCCAAACAGTTTGATACA